TTGCAGAAATTGCAGATCGATGCGAAACCAAAAATCCCAGTTCTCGTCCCACTTTTATTAACGTTGTAAATCCTCGTCCAAGGATATAATATCGCGTCGTATTTCATTTCGAAGTCCGATGGGTTTGCCAAAAGTATGAAAGTGTCTCGTTCTGGAAGCTAAACAAGGTTACGATTCCTTTGGATATCGAGTTATTCGGATTATGGTTTAAGTTCGACAAAGGAAGATTGCGACCAGAGTTTAGCTCGAAGGAATCCAACTCATAGTCTTTATTTTTTCGGATTAGTTCTGTACGGTATTCTCGACTCGTTTTCTTCGCCGTAAAAAAAAAAAAAAAAGAAAGAAAAAAAAATTGCCAAGAATTTTTTCAAGAGGCAAAGAGTAAAATATATCGGAATGTTTCTTCGATAATATTCGAAACAACAATTTTTTCCAAAGTTCTCGAATAAATTAAGAGAACTTGCTGGTAAGAGTTGTTAAATACAAATTATCCATATACGATATTTCAGTATTTTGCATCCGACGTGAGTTACAGCAGTGAATAGCTAACGCTCAGCTTAAGTAGCTACTAAGAAAATCATAAGGCGAGGGGTTTACCCTTTCGTTACCGAAGGTGACTGCAGTCCCCTAACATTGAACACGTCCGTTGTATATTAAAGATTATTATAGTCATCCATCAAAATTTTAATTAACAATTGTGATCAATTATATATTACAACTTATACCTTAATATTCATAGGTTAGGTTAACATTTTCTCGCATTCTAACATTTTTTTTATTTCAATACGTATAAATCCAAACGAATAACTCGAAACTGATTAATTAATATCATCGTGATAAAAGAAACAGGGGAGCAAAAACTCTTCGATTCGAAAGTCAAATTGAGAGGAAACTTAATTTAACAAACTAAACTATCCACTTAACGCAATCTCTTTAAATTTTGTTCGTAAATTGACAAATCGATTCTCGACCGTCGATCGAGCGATGAAAAGATTTTTTGAACTAAGCAAACCATTTTCAATGATTGACTTCCGATTGTGGATCCTCCTGGATTCAAAGTTAAATGAGACGAGCTCGTGCGACTGCCGTATCGAAAGACAAGAAAAGGGAAAAAGAAGAGGGACGGAAATTTTCGGATCGAACTCGAAATCGTGCATGCCAATGACTAGGTGCATCGGTTATAGTAGCGATAAAACGCTGCGGGGGAAAGTCGGTCGTAATTCTAGCTGGCAAATTGTTAAGACGAGCTCGCCACGGCACAAGGGTAACCATTATTATCCGTAATCTGAAGAGGCATAAATTTGCCCAAGGATACAACGGCGAGAGATGCCTTGGGCCTGCCGTAGACGAGAAGAAAGACGTAGAAATCGAGGGGAATAAAAATTAGAGGGCTGGCTAGCCTGTGAAGAACCATATCGATGTCTCGTGAAAGCTATGGAAATAGCGTTCGACGGAGGATTCCGATTGGTGGAATCTTGATTGAAACAAGAACTAGTTTTATTAGGTATCGTTAAATAATTGTACTGCTGCGAAGAGTTTCGATAGAATAAGATCCAAGTTTCAAGAAAATATTTCTGCCAAAGTTTCTAGGAAAATTGAAACAATCATTTAGAAATATTATTATAAATTGTATATAATTATTTATAAAATATATATTTTATTAAAGAAGATTTAAATCCGTAAATTAAAAATTAAAATTACTCCAATATTTCTTTTGGAAAAAAGGATAAAACAAGGATGATTTTCGTATCGAAATTTTTAATTTAAACTTGTCGATCTACTCTTCTTCCGTATTCTTGGACAAATATCGCAATTTCAAACTGTTAATGATATAACAACGTATTTTCTTTGTTATCTATTCTTGATGATTACTTAACAAGTATTACAATGATCTTACAAATATATTGCATCAACGAAATGACATCATCATAAATTGGTTAATATAATTTGGTTCAAGTATCGAATAATAATATAGGAATTCAGAAATGTCGCATTAAAAAATTCAATTAGATCAATTATATCCCACCATTCTTCTGTGCATTCTCATTTTTATTATTGGCTTCTTGTAAAATTCATTAGCCATCGGACACATGAGATTCTCCTCAACTTTCTTAATACAATTCAAATTAGACAACGACAAACTTTGAAAAACTTGGTTTAATACAGAAAGATGAAAGTCGTAGAAACAAAGTTTAAAAATAGAAGTCTGTGTCCAGCCTAACGTTTAATTAGACTTTTTCTCAAGTCGCTTAACTATCATGGCTCGAGCAACAGACTCTCAAGTACTCTTCTAAAGATTCCTCGACGTCGAATCTTTCCAAGTTTGCAATGGATCGATAGCTCGAGTTTCTTTCGAAGTTTGAAGGGCAAATCCTATTACGTACGAGTAACAGTTTCTCGAGGAAAGCAGAGAAGGATCCTCTTTTAGATAGATGATGTTTCGAAACGGAGTTAAACCACGATCGATCGTTCTTTTTTTTTTTTTTTTTCCATCAC